GATTTATGTGTCTGTATCTGCACAGACACAGACATATTGTAACCTATGTCAAATCCAAAGTGATTTACTAAATACTTTGCTAGGTAAAGCTGTTCTCAGACTACAATACAACATATTTCTGACATGTTTCTAAGACAGATTGGTCAGAACACATACAGGATACTAAACTAATTCCAAACTGCTTATTTTCTATGGCCCAGCTTCTGCTTTGTATACACGACAATGAATATCCTGTGTTTATTAGTGTTTTCTGAGGAAAAGTGTTCTGAAATTATGACCTAAGAAGAAAATCAGAGGTTCTCATCTTTAAAAAGTAAAACAGTTTCCTAGCTATAAGATTTATAAGGTGTTAATCAAAAAAAGACATGTAAAAAGTGCTTCATACTGAAACAACTTCATCACCCTTTCACTCTTCTCTATATTCAAAGATGTCCAAAAACCACCCCCAAATGTCTATGTGTCCCACCATCCAAAAAAGTATCCGAAATGTCCCAAAGTATCCCAAACCATCCTGAAGTATCCTAGACATCTCTATGCCAATCCCCCCCCCAAATTAAAAGAAATACCTGGATTCCAGCCTTGGTTCCTCGAAGAGACAAAAATCATCTCCATCGTCCCAAATTTTGGCTGAACATTTCCTATTTCCACCGAGCTGAGGCTTGTTTGAACGGCCACTGCTGCCTCCTCCTCTTCCACCGCCTCCTCCTCTTCCACTGCCTCCTCTCCCTCCTCCTCCTCTCCCTCTTCCTCCTCCTCTGTTGGGCTTTCCTCTCTTCCTCACTGCTGAACTCATGTTCTCTTGCTGAAGAAGGGGAAAAATAGCTCTAAGTTATGAGGACGATTTAGCACATTGCATATGTCCAAGCATATATTATTTGTTTGTCTATGTGACAAGAGAAGACACCCTCTCATTAACCCACAGTTAATGTGGGTGTGTCTGTATGCACCTGGAGCAAGGAACACTACTCTAGAACATTGTTTAGTAAGTTCTGTGGCTTTAGAAAACAAAAGTAATATTCCTCACAGCTATTCAGCCAAAGCCTGCAGGTTTGACAAAACTGCCTGGCCTCAGACCCCCTGGATTAGCCTACCAGCAGTGCTGCCTAGCCTGGGGGCTCCAGTTCTACCACTCTGATGGAGTTTTCATGGACACTGAAGCCCACAGGAAAAACCTTAAGGGGAATTTTCAGGGAAGAAAGCAGCCTTTGCGCTGTCAGTTTTCAACTCAGGAGTTTGCAGGGTTGAGAGCAAAAGGGGGAAGGGGAGCTAACGCCGAAGATACAATGTTTTTTCATGTTAACTCACATCAAACTCCTGACCCATCTCCTCCTGCAGAGAGCAGCCCAGACCGCTGAGCGCTCTGTGAAGCCTGGTCAGGGGAGTGATTAGGCACTTGTCTTGGAAAACAGAACCCCTCCTCTTCTCACAGCAGGACCTTTCCAGCGCTCACACAAGCCCATTAGCACTGAGCAGCTGTCATGGACAGAATGGCCCAACATTATGCTCCAACTGCACATTCCTGCTAATGGAAAGCCATTGCAGGGCAGGTGAGCAGCCGCGGGCAGGCTGTCAGGAGCTTATCAGCTGGATCTTTGCACGGGCACCTCCAGAGTCAGGACAAGAACGGCCATGCCCAGGTAACAGCCCAAACGAGGGCTTGGAGCAGCGGCAGCGGTTTGGGCTTCGAAAGCAGCAAACTCCCCTTTTTGTGGCCGCTCTCCTCACTGCAGCTCCGCCGGGGCCGGACAGGAGCTCACAGACAAGCCGACCCCGCTGGGAGCAGCCCGCAGTAAGTGAGGGAGGCGAAGAGGGCGAGCACGGCAGGCGCTCCCGGGGCCGCCGTCACACGGGGTCTGCTTCCCTCTCCCCAGGACCCATCCCCTGCCCACTCACCCACGCACCCGCCTCCCCTCAGCCTCTCTCGCAGACCCGCCGCGCACCCCCTTCCTCTCCTCCCCCGCTCCCCGCGGAGCCGTGACTCCCTCCGGGGGCTCCACCGCCCCCTTCCCCGCCCCGTTCTCACCTCCCCGCCCGGCACCGGCACCCGCAGCGATCCCTGACCCGGATCCGCCGCGTTTCCCTTCCAGGCCGCGGCCGCCGCCGCCCCGCTCCTCCCCGTGGGCAGGGCCGAGGGCTCCCTAGGAAAGAACGAGCACTCAAGCGCAACACTGAGAGTATGTGCGACTTTAGGCTGCTGTGCGTTTTGTTGCCTTAAGAGAGCGCGGAGAAAAAAACTCCAGGCCAGTTTAGTGTATGAGATAAGATAAAGAGAGTAGGCCCTTTAATCTCAGGCCTGAGGCCCAGGGAATACACATGATGCGCACCCGCCCAGACAATGGTTCTGTGACTTTATAATAAGGTCCATCCAATCCCAGATTTATCCACTGCCCCGTTCTGCCCGCCGACACGCCCCTCCGGGAATTGGGTCTGTGGGTGTGTGGGATCCCTTCTTCCTCATCTTCATCTTCGCAGCGTGCACAGTCCTTGGAGTTCCTCCAAAGTTCTGGGCTTGAAGGTCGCTGTGTCTGTGTGATACCTTCTGATCCAGGCTTTTCTACAATTCTAGCTTGAAAAGAAGACTAAACACGCTAACGGAATTTAGAGGGATTGATATGAAATGGGGTAACAGGGTTGGGTATGTTTAAATATTATGCTACAGGGTAAGGGATGTAATACAGCTACATTAAAATCTACATTTACTACTTCTAAAATCTACAAAAGTTAAAAAATCCAAAAAGCTCTGAGGCATCAGTTTGTATATGTATATATATGTATACATATATGTATGTATGTATATGTATGTTTGAATTTCGGCCAGCAGCTGTAACAGTGACACTGGCTGTTTGTTTCTCAACAGACTGTAGTGGCTTTTTAAAGTATCTTTCATATTTCCAATAAAGACAAATATTGAAATATAACAATCTTGGCAGGTGCTCATTGCACCAACCCACAAGTCCTACGAGGAGCGGCTGAGGGAGCTGGGGATGTTCAGCCTGGAGAAAAGGAGGCTCAGGGGAGACCTCATCAATCTCTAAGACTCCCTTGAAAGGAGGTTGTAGCCAGGTGGAGGTTGGTCTATTTCCCCAGGTAACAAGTGACAGGACCAGAGGAAATGGCCTGAAGTTGTGACAGGGAAGGCTTAGATTGGGTATTAGAAAACATTTCTTCACGGAAAGGGTGGTCAGGCTTTGGAACAGGCTACCCAGGGAAGTGGTGGAATCACCATCTCTGGAGGTGTTCAAAAACCATGTAGATGTGGCACTTTCAGGACATGGGTTAGTGGTGGGCCTGGCAGTGTTGAGTTAATGGCTGGACTCAGTGATCTTGGTGGTCTTCTCCAACCTTAACTCCAAAACTGAGTGTGTGGGATCAAAAGGGAGGAAGGCTACACCAGTTTCAGAGTGAGGGTGATGTAAGTGACAAGAGACTCCAAAGCTGTGTTGCTGAGGCCGGGAGGCCCCTCTGCAGATCCCCTACACACACAGGGTAACCCATGATAGCTGCTCTGCAGCACATCCCGTCGGGTCTTGAGTAATAACTCCATGGAAGGAGAATCCACAACTACTCCAGGCAACCTGTACCAAGTTGGAGTCTAAAGTAAAAAATCCTACCAGGAAAGAAAAATTCTGCACTGGTTTGGCTGTATAAGAACCACCACACCTCGCAACCCAGACACACAGCAGCTGCCCTGAGGTTGTTTCCTCAGGGTCCACCTACAGATGGCCACAGCCACTGCCCTGAGGGTCCACTGGGATCTGCTCTGCCCTAGGCCAGCTCCCCACCACCTCCACAACGGGGCTCAGCGGTGGAAAAATGGTTCATAAAACTGCTGCTGGTTCACACTCTGTGCCACCCAAAGGTGCCTGTTCCATGGGCCCATCTCTGGGAACATCCTGTCCACAGGAGATGGAGAGTCAGATCTGAGAAACAGCTCTGTGCAACAGAAGAAATGCATTGCATGATCTCCTGGGTTTTTGCCTCTCAGATGCTCTCTGTCTTGAAGTGAAAATACTTGTCTTCCACCACTCTCGTTTTCTAGAGGGGAACTGCGAAAGGACACCTGAGTGTGCGCTCGACGCCTCACAAGGGGGCCTCAAATGCAACTATGTATATCAGCAGCTGGAAAAATGACAAGGTAGTTTTAAGTATTCCTTCATTTTAAAGTTCCTCTGTGTTTGGAATATCAGTGTATCCACCCTTAAAAAGGCACAGAAATGAAAGTCATAACCCAAAAAGGATCAGATGAATGCTGCAGGCTCTTTTTCCACCCGGGCATCTTGTCACAGCCCAGTCTGAAGACTTGACACATCTGGAGTCTTCAGGTGTCCTCCAGCCTCCCGAGGCTCCTGCAAACACACCAGTCATTGCTGGGAGGCAGGTCCCAATGAAACACCTGGGCATTGTGGTGGTGGTGGTGCCCAACACATACACCTACTGTGAAAGCCCTGCCTGTGTGGGCTGTGCACACAGAGTGGGCTCTCCTGGGTGTGTATGAACACCACACACATATCCCACAAGGAAATGGGAGCTCTGGTCATCAACAGCTACACTCTTGTGTGGCTGCCCTTGGTTACTGAGTTCCCCAGGAATTACTGAGGAAGAACAGGAAAATTGCTTATTTTGTTGACACTGTAGAGGAAACAGTCCTTGAAACGATACAAATAGTGGTCTGTGACTTTATTGGATGTAGTCTGGCCTTTTTTTCAGTCTCTTACGAAAATATTGGTGCAATGGTGAGAATTAAAATTATGGCATAGAAGTGCTTCGCAGCACAGATTCAAATCCCCAGGCATGTCTTAGTGGCCTAGGCTGACAAATGAAAGGTTTGCTCTGCCTTGATCCACAGAAAGAAATTCTGAAAAATTTAATTAACCCCTCAGGCTGTCAGGTTAAAGGAGTTATATGCAGTTCCATGCTGCATAGATTGTTAAGATCCCATGAGACTACCAGCAGAGGAGGGGTTTATTGGACACTATGGCCAGCCCAAAACTTCTAAACTCTTACCTCTTACCTAAATTCCTTGTAAAAGCAGAAACAGGTATATCTGTCAAAGTCACTTTCCCCTGCTTTATCATATCTGAGTGTGACTGCAGACTCCAAGGCAGCAGTGAGAAGAGAAATTGTAATGAAAGGAAAAAATAATGTAAGCATAAATATTAACCATTTTCTTCATCTCTCAAATGCAGATTAATGGTGCTGAAAGGCTAGAACATCCTTCTGGAGCAGTTTACAAAGGGGAATTCAGACATTTCACAGGGCTGGAACCTGCACATTTCCAAGTGGAGCAAAGTACCTTGGATTGTTCAATGAAAACAAGTATGTTTGAAATGGAAGAGTTGTGTAAACTTTTCTACTAGTTTTGATTTTATAAGTTGTAATGTCCAAATAAAATTCACCCCATGTGGGAGTAGGTTTCTTTTGCTACCAGTGAAACTTGCACTGAGTACCTGAGATTGCTTATCCCAGTTGTGTCCATTTCATGAGATCAGTCCAAAGTATGTATTTCATTCCCAGTCACAAGTTTTCAAGTTGGCTATTTCACCCACCCACTTTTTGTTACCAGGTCTCTGGGCTCAGGCAGAGTTCAAAGAAATAGAACAGTTCAGACCTCTTTCAGAGCTGTTGTTTCAAGCTGTTTGCATTATCTGCCTGTCAAATTTGCTAGGTTTAAGTTCAATTTTTCTTTAAGTACTTCCCCCAATCTAGTATCTGAAATAAATCTAAAATGTGTATTTGTTAATATTTGGCCTTTCCTCAAAAAAAACCCCAACAAAGCTCTGTCTTACCCTCCTGACCAAAAATAATAGTCACAATAGTAATATCATGATGACCAATTCTATTTTTAAGTTGTCAAACTCTAAATGAAATATGTGTTATAGAATGTACCTGGATACAAAATAGAAACTTGTATGGCAAACTCCAATGTTTGGGGAAAAAATTTATTTCAATACTTTAGAACATATTGAGTTAATTTATACCTCTATTAAAATGGCATGTTAAAACCTGCTCAGAGTGTCTGTCTTTTCCTTATGTATGAAATGACAGACATGGATTCTGTGCGAAGTTAAATCTGTAAGTTCTCATCACTTCAGCAGTAGATCACACATGGAGCTTCACAGGCATTTTCTCTCAAAAATCTTAGGGTGATACCAGTACTCTCCTGTGAGAGGCCAGCACAGTGCTTGTCACTAGTAGCTGATCTGTAGAGAAAACCATCTGGTTCTGATTTGAACTTCTGATTTCAAGTAACTAAGATGCTGATGTAGGCACACCCTTGGCAACAGAGATCCAATCTTTGCCAGCCCCTTCTGTTTTCACCAGGGAATGAAAACTTCTCCTTTTGACACTGGTTTGTGACTGTTAATAGGTGTCACAAACACGAGTCCCTGACAGCCTAATGCAAACTATTTTGCCAAGTTTCAGGATTGCTAGTTTCCACTTACACGAGATAGGTGCCAGTTCACCAGTTCACTGTGGCTTTCATGAGAGAACCACAGCAACTTGTTGCGACTGCCAGATGCCTTCATTTTTTAAGGCAAACAAGTCTCCGGTAATTGATTTTAAAAGTTATTTTCCCCTCATTTGCAAGGGATGCTGATGTATAGACAATTCTGCTTTATACCAGTTTTCCAGGTATAATGATGAGCTTGATCGCAGCTTCCAAAGATCAGCAGAAATATGTGGTTTGTGAGGACTGACATCACATGGCAGTTACCTTTTTCCCCACAGGAGGCTGTAAATCCTTGCACCTTACCAAAACAGTGCATAGCAGGATGGGAAAAGAATGAGAGGATGGATTTTTACAGGAAGATCATACAGTAACTGGCTGCATACATCAGCCATACATCAAAGTCAGGATAAACTTAATAGGACTTAACCCTTCAAATCATGACTGTTTTTTTCCTGCAGAGGATGCATGCTGAGAAGACGTTAGTATACATCCAGTTTTGCAAAGAAGGGAATATGTTCCTTGGATGAATAACCAGCATGCTTCGTAGGCCAAAACTTTTACAGGCTACAATGTTGGAGAAAGTTAAGGCAGGTACTTACACTACACTGGGAAGCTTCTGATTCCTGGCCACATCAGCTGCCAGAGCTGACTGCATCCTCAACAGGCTGGATTTCTGTCAATACAGTATGGAAGGTGAAGGAGAATTTTAAGATGAAAATGGAGTGGAGTGGCACATTTCATGGCTCGGCAGCAGTGGGACTGAAGCAGAAGTTGAAAATGCAGCTGTTTGGTACAGACAGCACCATGGGTTAAAGGCAAGTCTCTGGGCTCAACAGCTGTGACCAGTTTTCAACAGGCATTGATTTCTTTGTGTCTTAATTAAAAATGACCTCTGAGCATGCACGTTAATAGCAGATAAAATTATTTTCTTTTCAGACCGATCAACTGAAGTCTCTTAAGTCTTTAAAGAAATGAAGTTGGGTAGGGTGAATTCATAAGTGCAGCAGTTGCTGACTAGAATTTCCTATTGGAAAGTCTTAAGCAATCTAAGTAGAAAAATCTATTTGTGTTTTTGTTTGCATTTGGTCATCAATGTCTCTACACTATGAATCTAAGTATTTTGCTTTATAAAAGAGAAAAGCTGCTTTCTAGTTAAAAAAACAAAACAAACCAAAACACAACATACCAGTGCTGTCAGGAAAAAAATGTGTTGAGTCTTTGTGGTTTATTAGCAAAATGAAAAACCAGCACATTATCAACAAATAGACATACTGGGCCATCTGAAACAAAGCAGCTCATGGATCACTTGGCAATATAATGCCTTACAGCCTTTCTTCTTAAATTGCCTGTAGGAAAATCCATATTTGAAATGTTTTGTTCATAGATTTGTCTAAATGGTCTTATTTATTAAGAAACAAACCCTTCCTAGCTTGAACTGTTTGTTGAATTCATGGGTATCTTTGACCCAACAAAAAATGCACTTTCCGGCAAACTCCTTCAGAATTATAATTTTATTTTGTTCAATTTTGTTGTGTTTTGCTTCTGAAATAGCCAGCTCCAAAAAAAGAAATACTGTGTCCTCTGTCCCTAGTCCTTGACTTCAGAGGTAGCAGCATCTTCCACAGAGCTTCTGTTAATTTAGGAGCTTGTCCTTTCAGCTCATTTGCTAAGGCTCCACATTTATCTGTGCTGCGCAGCAATTATACTGATTTAGTCTGTGCAGTTTTACATTTCAGGTTTTCTGCCTGAAGGGTATATTTGAAGTAGATCTTTGTCTTTCAGGGAGAAATTACTTTGCCCTTTGTTACTGTGCCTCCTCCTTTATGTCTCCATGTTCTTACCCTTCAGAGCAGCTCACTGGAATGGCTCAAACATTTCCTTGACACATTTTCCTGTCACCTGGCCTTGGATTACTTGCATTATCCACATGCTTTCCTGATGCCCTTTGGAGCAAAAAGCCCTCCAGTAAAGGGCTGATCCTCCTAAGTGAAGAAATGGAGCAGGTGTGGAGGGCTGTTGCTCCCCACCCTCCAAGACCTTATTTATTTTTACTCAAAGAAAATTTGTCATGATCTAACAAGAAACAGAAAATACTCAAGTGCTGGTGATTCCTGCTCCCCTGCCCTGGCTACTTTGGCAGTCTTGCTCTTGGCTCCTGAGCCCTCTTGGCCCTGGCATCCCCAGCGAGGCCATGCCTGGTAAGAGATGGTGTCAGAGAAAGTAGGGAGGAGCTGATCCCATTTCCCTGTCCCCGTCAACTGGAAGTTGTCTTGTTTGGGTGCCACAGGAGGTACTTAAGATCCTCTGAGCTTGGCAAAGTAGCACAGACCACATCAGCACCTGGCTCTCACCACATGGCCCCCTCTGCCGTCACTTCACAGGGCTTCTCACCCTCCCTCCGCAGCAGTGTGCAATTCTAATTAAAAAGGAAGAAAGTCTGTATCATCTTCTTCCAAGTGCACAGTCCTGATTTTTGCATGGGCATGCGAGGATGTGACCTGAAGATTATATAATTAGAAGGCATTTGTTATGCTAGCGTTTCAAATCAGTGATTAGCATGTGACAGTCCCATCCTGGGAGCCACCATTGCTCTACTCTCTCTCTCCTGTCTTGCACAGTGCTAATTCCCAACTCTAGCAACCGCCGGTGCCGAAGGATCTTCAACTAGCCTGGGGTAAGTTTAAAATGTACTCGGAATGGGATGAAGAGTGAGATTAATTATACAATTTTTCATATTACTGGAAAAAGCGAGAGTTGTAACAATTTGATATCGTGTGTGCAGCACATAAAGGACTTAAAGTATTTAAAGTACTTTGCATTTTCAATGCCTACAGTTATTTTCAGCTGATTTCTTCTAAAATTCTGTGTGGAGATGGAGCTCCTTAGTGTGCAGAAAAATTTTGTGAGGCTGCATTTATAGTGAGGTCTCTAAAATGTCAGTTAAAAAGACCTTTTTCTTTGCTCTCACCAGCTAAGAGCTAAATTGAAGTATCGTGCTGAATTGAAGTATTTGAATGACAACCACATTAGAGTTAGTTGGAGACAAAATGTAAGAGTGATGAAAGGAAATAACAGATTTTTTTGTTCTCTTTAGAGGACAGGGGGTTGCTTTCCAAGTGGGATATTTAAAACAGCAGCAATTTCAGCCAGCAGGACTGAGACAGTCACCAGGAAGATCCCAAACATTTATTTAGGGAAACAGTGAATGCTTAACAACTGAAGTAGCAAAAGTGCATATGGATTTCCCTGCACTGTTGCCCATGTCACGATTTCATAAGAAGCAGAATGGCTCAGAAAGTCAAATAGTAGCTGTTGTCCACCAAGGCTAGGCTGTAAATGCTTTACTGAACTTTGCCTGTTTGCATGCTGATGCTTGGTGTTGTCTGTCTGTCTTTTCAATATGTGATCCTCTGCACAGCTGATTGTTTCCATGTGGGGGGAGCACTGGAAGGGTGAGCATGGTCACATAAATGCAGTGCAGGCTGCAGGACCTGGCTCCCCTCTCTCCAACACACACAGCTTTGTGCAAAAAAAACCCACCCCTGTGTTGCCTCAGCAGCGCATCGCTCCAGCCTTCAACCCCGTGCCTGGGGGATAGCTAAAGAAGGCAACTCACTGGGACCTCCCCATCCCTCCATCCACACCTTCTCCCTGGGGGATCTCATGGGAAGTGGGTGCTGGCTCAGGCTCAGTTAGTGCTCGCTGGTTGCCTGCTCTGCTTGGCGGGAGGGGGTGCAGCACCAGCTGCCCGTGCAAGGCACCAGGGCAGGGTTCTTTGCTGGTCACCAGTGGCCAGCATGGCAATCACCAACAGCAGAGGTGGCACTCAGCTTTGGTTCTTAGGCTCAGCAGATTTGGCTGCTGGAGGGAAGATAAAAACAAAAGGGGAAAAAACATCCTTTTGCCATGATGGAGGAATGTGGTGGCTTTAACATCTTGAAATTATTCTCCGGGCTTTGCTCCGAAGATGTTATTCTGGCTTGATAGAAGCTGCAAGAGTGTAAATGAGTTTTAATACTCAACTCTGAAGAAACAAGCACGTCTTTGCCATTTCTTGTCCCTAAAGCAGGGGACCATGGGCTTTAATGGCAGGCCAAGACAGTCTGCTGATGGCTCCATGTGACTGGGTATTGAGCCTGTCCAGTGGGGAGCTTGCAGAGGAACGATAACATCTCCTTGTTGATGTGGGAACTACCCTTGTGGTGGGCTGGCATATCAGGCAAACTTTGGATTTGCCATGAGTGGAGGTCTGGTAGTGGTTTAGGAAAGCAGCTTCATGGAGGGCTTGTACTTGCTGCTGATGTGCACATGCGTTCATGTATGTGCATACAGGAAGGGATTAATGGTGTGCGACTTGCTTAGTACTGAGACAAAAAGATGGAGGGGCAAATCCTCTCCAGCTTTTAACTGCCTCAAGGGGGCTGTAAAGCAGACGGAGTCCAGAATCCTCCCAAAGGTGCACAGTGAAAGGCAATGGGCACAAGCTACAGCTAAGGGAAACCCCAACTGGATGTAAAGAAAAGTATTCTTCCTCGGTACTGGAAGGCCTAGGGTGACTGTGAAGACTCCAGCTGAAGAAATATCCAGCTGGACAGAGTCCTGAGGAACCTGATCTAGTTTGACATTAGTCTTGATTCGAGCAGGAAGTTGAACTAGAGCCATGCAAGGCTCACCTGGACTCTGCTGCGAGCTTAGGACTTATCCAGTGCCAGCAGAGGCAGGATTTGACCAAGCAGCCCACATCCAGGGTCTTAGGGCCAAATGTCAACCCTATTTTCCAACCCCTTATTGCACCCTTTAGGCACAAGCCAGACACTGTTCAGCCAGCTCAGGCTGACCAAAACCCTGGTCAGTGGTGAGGACAGTGTTAACAGCTTCCCCACCCAGCAGTCAGAGGGAACAGAGGACAAGCATTCACTTCAAACCATGGAGAGGTTCATGTCCTGTTTGTGTTAGTGATGAGGAAGGACTGATTGGTTTTGGTCTTATATTAAGCAGTTCAGAAGAACCAGGCAGAAGGAGGCAATATATACATATTCAGAGAGTCCTAAATGCTGGAAAATAGACAATGTAATGCCATTATTTAATGTAACAAAGAACTAAGGGGTGATTCTGGAAATTGCAGGCTGCAGGTAGAGGACACACAAAGATAGTTACTCTGGTAAAACAGGTAAGATTTTCTGGACCCACTTAACCAAGGTCAACCTACTTTGCAGTGCAGTCATAGCAGAGCTCCTGGTATGCCTGGAGCAGGAGGGGATGGTGGCATCCCCGGTGTCCCAGTTTCAAAGCCTCACTCCTGAGCTCCACAGAGGACGCAGACTGTGCTTAAACATTGTCCTTGTCTGTACAAGTGTAATGGGGAAGCTCCTGAGTTAAACCTTCATGCTGTACAGGTATTGAGTTCCCTCTATAAGGAAAAACTTACTTCTGATACCAGGAACCCACAGAGTTTTAACAACCCGAGAGACAAGATCAATGCCAAAGGGCTACACCAGCCCTGTGTGGCCCTGAGTTGAAAGTGTATGAGAACAGAACATAAGTAACTGGGCAATGACACATACTCATATGAAGATTCTTCTACAAGTATTACTTCTCTCTTATTTAAATCTCATGTAGGTTTTTTCATCAGACAAACCTCTTCCTTTGTGAAGAGAGGTGAATGCCCTCCCGTGAGCTTCTCCTCTCAGGTGCATCACCTTCCATGACAACTGCAGGTGTCCATGTGTTAGGGAGGGTGCCACAGATGCATCCTTCACTCTCAATCACCACCTTTCACAGGTGGCCATAGGCCTGGTGATGTGCTGGGCCACAGTGGGACAGAGACACGTATCTTAAGGGAGCTGGCCTAAGAGTGGAAGTGGAGAGCACTTGGTGGAACGGAATTATGCTTTAATTCTGGCTTTTGGATGCCTTTAATTCTGGATGCCTGCCATTGCAACCTGTCCATACGTTGTTTGCTCATGCGTTACAGCCTCTTGACTCCCCCATTTAAGAATGTGCAGCAGTACAGGTGAGATGCTCTCATTTTTGCATGCCCCCACAATCAGTGTTCTTGGGTCTGGCAGGGTATGGTCATCCTGACTTGCGAGGGCCAGAGGTATAAATGTCACATTGTCACTGGAGACTTAGTGATAATTCATAATAATTCGGCAAGTGGGTAATAAAATTATAAAATCTTTAAGACAGGCTGTGCAGTTAGTGTATTTCATGGTATATTAATACAACTAATTTCATACTAATTGATGTTTGCTTATTATTATTGTTATTATTAATTATGAATAGTTAACAATTATATACTGCTATATTGCTATAACTGGCATGGTAAACTATTAATAGCAGAATGGGTAAAAATGTTCTGAAGAGAAAAAAATTAATGAATTTCCAGCAAAAAGCTGTTTTCATTGTTTTCAGTGAAAACAGAGCAAGTTCATGTTTTTCTCATATCTGTTTTGTCTTTCCTATTTGTTCCTTTTCTCTCAACATTGCAAAAACAATTCTGAATTTTGAAACTAGTTCTCTGTTAAACACACTAGTCCCAGTTCAACAGCCCAATAACAAGAGCCTCAGCCTCATGGCACTGACTAGTTTAAATTGGGAGCAAAGTTTTAGCGACTTTGCTACTCAACAAGCTGCTTCTGAAGTTGAATTTAAAGGTCTGTTTCACTGAGAGACACAAACTTAACAGAACTACGAGAGAGGAGGTTTAACTACTTCAAAAACAACTCCATTTTAATGTGTTTTGGAAGCAAATAACATTCTTGCCATTCTCTGCAATACCTATCAGAAAAAGAAATAACTTTTTCTTTTTCTGCTGAAGAGGGCTGGAGCACAGGAGCATAGGGAGGCTGAGCGAGTTGTGTTTGTCCAGCTTTGGGAAGGGAAGGCTGAGGGAGTTCTACAGCCACCTGCAACTACTTAACAGGGGTGTTAGTCCAGTCAGTCAGGCTCTTCTCACTGACACAATGAAAGAAAGGATAAATGGCCAGGGGCACAAGCTCCAACAAGAGAAAGCTTGATTGGCCATAAGGAAAAAAGTCTTCCTCATGGGAGCAGTGCAGCCCTAGGAAAGGCCCAGAAAGACTGAGAATCCTCTAGCCTGGGACATACTCGGATCTTGACTAGATGTGGCCCTGAGCAACCTGGTCTAGCTTTGGGGTTAGCCCACATCAAAGGTCCCTCCACCTTTGCTCAGTTTTTCCACCTGCCTCACCAAAAGATCCTCTGTCCTGATATGTCAGTGGATTTTCTTAGCAAGTGATCTCATAAGCAGCTCTCTTACAAATAAATTTATCCTTTCATTAACCCTCAATCTTAAGAAGATGCTCAACCCCAATTCCCTCCAGCACTGGGCTGGAAGCCTTTCAGTCCACATCATACCCTCAGCAAGAGGTCGGATGGGCACTGTCACCATGTTCCTCCCCTGGGAATTCCACACTCAAAAGCTCTCAGGTTGAAAGTGTGGGACCCCCAAGCTACACTGCTGACTGCTACAGAAGCAACTGCTTCTGCCCTGATTTCCTGTAGCCACCTAGGGTTCTTGCATATTTTGTACGTCTCCCATCTATTTAATGCTATGTGCCTTTCTCTGTGCCTACTTCCCTGAAAACATCACCCCAGACTTCTCTGAATCACCACAGTCCTCTTGGCAGAGCTGAGTCAGCAGAGATCTCTGCCATAATTACACTGGCCACTCCAGTCCCATTAGCAAAGCTAATGATGACTCACATCAGCCTCCAGCATATCCATGTCCAACAGGAATGGAGGTAGGAGGTTATTCTAGAGTCCTGAATCTAGTTTACTAGTAAGGCTGGACAGAAGTAGACTTGAATTAAATCCTGGGGAGGGGAAGTGTGGATGTGGGGCAGGGCCCATGCTGATAAGAGCTGGTGCAATCCATTTTTCTGTGTCTCTGCCCATGTCATTAATCAGGCATTATCTTAAGACTGTTCTCAACGTCCTAACCCCAATACCAGACTGATAAGGTGCTTTGCCAAGGGACTGGCTTGGGCATGGCATCATGCTCTGTTGTCCCTGGTTCCTGGAGAGGCTACATTACACTTCGAGGTGCCTTGCAGCACTCCTATATACGTCTCCAAGTCAGAGAGACAAACAGAGAAAGCAGGCATGGCAGTATAAGTGCCTCCGAAAGTGCTGGCAGAATTGTGTAGAAGCATTCTGAAGGCAATATTCTCTGTGACCCAAACACAGGCTTGAAAGACATTTTGGGTGATTAGTTGCATAGGAAAAGGTTGGTTCTTTGATGCAGAGCACTCATGCAAGTTGTTCATGTGCTGTTCAAACTACATCGTATTTTGATTGAGTGTTCATACAAAAAGTACCTTGCTGAGCAAATAGTCTCTGTGGGATTACATAGTACCTCTTAGTCACCTGTGCATGTAAGCACAAGTGGCCCTGGGCTGGGAGGGAAGTGTTTGTACCAGCGCCCACTATGTCTGTGGAGGCACTGTGAACCCAAACAGACCTTTAGGATGCTCCATTCCCTCTCAAATCCCTCCTCCTTCCTCTGTTTTCTGAACTTCGAGCATCTTTGCTCAATAAACCCTTTTTGCATCTTTCTGCACTCAGGGTTCAGATCAGCTGACCCACTGCAGGGCTCATATGTGGGCAGCTCTAAGCCATGGGATGTTCCCAGTGACCAGCCAGAGCCCTCCAGAGTGAGGACAGGAGTCCCTGCGAGGACGCACACCCTATAGCAGCCATGGACACAAACAAACACGAAGGTAAAGCACCCTCTTATTTCACTTATTGATAGTATGAAAGACTGTGAGGAAGAAATGTGCTCTCATATGACCTGTCTGTTGGCCCCCATCCAGCCCCCTGAGAGCACCTCTTAACCATGGCAGCTGTGCGCAAATGTTCAGTACTTTTAGTTTCATAGAAATACTTGGGGGTTTAAGTTTTTATCTCTTATTTTAGAACCACCTCCCTCCTCCCTCTGGAAAATAATCCTGTGGCATATGTAATGTCCAACGTGGGAAGTCATTCCTTTTCTTGCCTTGGACCCCAACTCTGCCTTAGGATGTACAAAGCTGTGTCATACATGAGGGCATTGTGATGAGGATCTGCTTCTCTTCCCCACATGCTTTGTAGCAAGGTGTTCTTGTTTGTGTTAGTGCCATAACCCAGACATCTGCACCAGTCCCAGTCTTGCAAGCACCAAGATGTATCCAGGCCACATTGCTTTCATGCAACCAGTCCTTGCTACAGTCAGCAGCACTTCTAGAAAGTCTGCAAAGCTCAGGGGTTTCAAATCCAGGGTTTTAGTGGTTATCAACTTCTTTCAGAAGAATGTGGGGCTGATGGTATTTGCTTTCCACCCCAAAATCTTTGCACTGTGCTCTGCCTTGCCACCTCAGAGGTACTGTGTCCATATGCTGAGGAACTCTTGAAACTATGAGCAGTGGAAGCAGCTTTAGGAGTGCCCACAAGTGTCAGCTCAGGAGAGAGACTGGACCATCTCTTTCCCTCTTCAAAGATGCTTGGTGGTGCCAATATTCATGGCATGGGTAACGGAAAAGTTAATTTCTCTATTATTATTGTTCTAATTGGATTAAATTAGGTCTGTGTACCTAGGCCCCTACACTACAGCAGGCTGAAAAGGAAATTAACTCAGGGATTTTTTCCAATTAATTGGTGTGCCCTCACGGGCGGCAGATGTTTACTGCAGAAATTGGGAGATAACCCCAAAGCCCCTTGCTTCCCACAGTGCAACTGTGAGGAGCCTCCTCTGCTCCAGCTCTTAGCTGTGACTTTATAGAGATGATCTGGGGTTTGACTGGGTACATGCAGAGAGTGCTCATGGCAAAGGTGGGAGGTAAAGTCACCGCAGGAGTGACCTTTTTCCCATTTCTGGTCTTGCTCAGGAGCGGTTCCTTGCTTTGAGTATATCCAAGAACATTACAGACTCATCCGTAACCAAACCCAAATGAAAGATCCCTATAGACTTCTGCAGGGGTCTGACCCTCTGTGTTATATGTCAGATTGAAAGATGCCCAAAGAAAATGTGAGGAGAGACCAAGGCTCTTTCTTGCTGTGTTATGCTTCTACCTGACACCTCTAGCCCTTCACAAAGTTCAGCATTCAATACACCCACCATTTTGTAAAAGCAGCATCTCCCTGTCCTCCCAGCATCTGGTTTGTATTGTACTATTAATTCAGAGACATGTCCTCTTGCTCTTTTTGGGTCAGTCCTTACCATTCCACAGTAAGAGTCCAGCAGTAACATATACATCAGAACAGGCATGGGCCCCAGTTTTCATGATTGAGGAGGATCACTGTACACACTGCTGCCTTCTCAAGCCTCAGTTCCAGGCATCATGAGAAAGCTTCAGGCCAAAAGTTGGTTTCTAGTTCACAGGGTTGCAGAGAAAATCTGTAAAAAAAGACCCAGAAGGGCCAAAGCTGAAAATGAAAACAACCTGTCATTTAAAACTTGAAATGTGGGACTTGGTGCAGGCTGGCTGATGAGTTCTGACCCCAAACAGTTGGCAGTCTGGAATCATAGTTACTTTTGCCAGTCAGCCCCCTGCCCCTTGTTTCCCAGGAGGAAACATGGGAGGATATTCCCCAGAGGGTCAGTGTCTGACCCAGCTACCCAACCCCACAGCCAAGAGAGCCCCTTGCACAGGCAGGAAGTGGCACATGGACAGAGAGGAGCACATGGCCTCTCTTCCTCTCCCTTCTGCAAGTCACTGGGGAATTTGCTCAAGTTCCTCTGAATCAGGACAAATTCTAGAGACCAGAACAGGGCCAATTCATAGGTGCCCTTGGTGGTAACCCATATTCTACCTCAGGGGTAAAGAAATCAGAATGTAGTTATGCCTTGTATAGCTCTGACTTCCAGGCTCCAGCTCTCCTCTGGCTGACTGCATAGAGTCTTCCCTGCACACTTTTCCAGCCTCTGCAGGACTGAATTTCTGTGGTCTTAAAGGCCCAGGTGGGTCAGACACCGAGCACCTGCAGCCAGCATGGAAAGAGGGAGCTTGGCTTCCCCTAGATTGGGCATGGGGTTAATGGTCATGTCTGTGACTGACAGCTGAGACAGGTGAAGCAAATTCTTGGAAGCAAGAGAAAACCCACCTCATGAAGTGGCATTGCCAAAGAGAGGTGATCTAGACCAGGAACTAAGTGGCATGGTATTTTCTGGGAGTGAGGGCCAGCCCGGGACCCTGATGTAGGGAATAACATGGGAACTGATGGCCATTGGACTGCATTTCCCTCAAAGTGCAGTGGCAGCACAACCAGCAGTAATTTCTGTTGGACAACCAAAGGTTTCTTCACAGAAGAGACAATATTAGAAGAGGAAACAATAAACAGACATTTTGGTTTCAATCAAGATGGTTGGACTGGATGACCTTTAAAAGGACCCTTTCAACTCAAACGATTCTATGATTCTATCTTTAATGCCTAGAGATAATGTCTCTGCAGTCTCCAAAATACTTCAGCAAAATAGATATAATCTCCTCCATGAGCTAAGTCTGTTTCAGAAATGTTAAGTCTATGTCCATAGTACAAGATCAGGTGAGATCACAATGCCACAAAACCCCAGGAATGACGAAGCTGATGAAAAGGTGTAATTTTTTGGTGTTAGAAGAGACATGATTACTGCTCGGAATGCATTGTGACAAAATATAACTTAGGGCTTAAAAGATACAGATCAGGTCAGCCTTTTGTGGAGATAATAGAAATACGTAAAAATATAGTAGAGGATAAAATTTACTATTTCAGAAGAGAAACGTATCAGTAATGGTTGAGGACAAAAAACATGTTACTTAAGGTTGGTCCACAGAACTAAACTTCACAGGGAGCACTTTAGTCCTGATCGCACATACAGGCTTTCTCGCTTCTTTGCATGGATCAGCTTTGGCCAGACAGGACAGCAAATAAGGTGAATTTAATGTCTGATTTAGGTGAGTTATTCCTGGTTTATAATTGCAGTTTATTTTACAAATGATATGGTGTTCAGATCTCCTAAAGTGAGACTTGAGTCCTTTAAAACTGATTTGTTCCTCAAGAGGGACTTCAAACCCTCTTTTCCGGTTATTTATAGCAACCATTATAAGTCATTTTAATTGACTAAAGTTCTTTATTCCCACAGGGGGGACTGAAAGTGTGCCTGTGACTACCCCTGCAACACAGATTTCCCAGGTAAAGTTGAGCAAAATGCCCTAAATAACTCCATGAGTTTAAAGAGTTACTAATATATAAACAGTAGTTAAAAAGCTAAATTAAGTGGAAGGAAAAAATATAGGCACTTATGAGGAACATGGCAACTCAAATGTGCACACTGCATGAGTAAATATCATACATATCACATCTTGGGCCACATCTTGAAAGACCCTTCAGTGAAATTTCTCTGCTCATAACCAGTTGTGTTTAGACAGGTGATTTGTGAGCTCAGATAATTAACCAGCTGGCATCATTAGCATCAATTAGAGAATATCAATTCACTGGGCTGGAGGGAGATTTCATGGCTGAGCTTTTAGCTTTCAGCAAACCTGATGAACTGTCCTAGGAACAAGGATCTGTTGATTGACATGGGGCAGGGGTGTCTTCTGCAGAAGGGGCCCAAGTCTTCTATGGGGCTTTGGGTTATCCCGGCAGCCTCACAGTGTCTCAGACCATGGGGTGCTCTTGCCTGATAATCCAGATCAGCCAGAGTGTTGAGTCTTTCTGCATGTCTTTGTCCGGCTTCCCAGCCAGGAGCTTGGAAACCCTGTCTTGGAGTCAACATTGGCTCAGGGTGATCAGGTCCTCCAAAGCTCTGTGGCCGCTCTTTGTGTTGACATTCTTGCTGCAATGAGACACCACGGATGCAACAAGGTTGTGTGCACCACAGCCCAGGGAGTGTCCTTCCTGTAAGACACAGTTTCAGCGTTTCCACATGAAATGTTTCCTATGCATTTCCAGTCTGCAGGAAATGCAACAGAGTTTTAAGCACTTTAAATCCCTGGTCTGGTTCAATATGGAACTGAAATATGAAAGAGGAAACACATCCCTGAACTGGAAATCCAGGCTATTTGAGACCTCCCTTGTCACCACTGCAACACTAATGCCTGTAACTGCTTGTAAGTGCAGTATGGCAAGTGGAGAAGAAACTGCTTTCCATGAACCAGTGCTTCTCTCATCTCCTTCCTCTTTTCCCATCCAGGCAGCTCCAAGCAGGAGCTGTGACTGGGTTGCTGAAGGGCCCAGCACAGTGGATCCAATGCATGTGGAACAGTGTGCTGGAAACATCACGCACACATGTTGGTTTCCAGCTGACATGTGGATACCCTGATGAATCCTGAAATGAAAGTTACCAGCTAATTCTTCCCTTCTGATTCAGCAAAGGCCCTATGGACAATGGGCAGATGCGGAACAAGAGCTGATAAGTGCTTGCAGCTCCCTTTAAGCACCTTCATCGTTCTCTTCTGTCCTTACCTTGCTGCTCTGCCTATATTCCTAACATCCTTGCCTAGGAATATAAATACTAGATATACTCCTAAGGCTGGTTCTTTACCACTGTAAATCACTGCTTTCCTGCGATGAGGCATTGCAAGCCTTCCTGATGCTTGGCTGTAGAAGTGCTGCCCTTAAACACAGGAGTTAGTAGCTGTTCTAGAAATTGGTTGTTCCCTGGTAAAAGAATGCATCATACAACTCAGAAAAATCAGATCCAGGGTTTGTGGGAAACGTTGGATTTTGTGCCAGACTGGTTTCAAGCAGTGTCCTCAGGCAGTCACTCTTTTGAGTGACACAATGTGTATTTACTCCTTCAGATCAGCCTCAGCAGATGTGCGAAGGGATGGGCAGTAGATAAGCTGGGGGAAGTAACAGAGAGTACTCCTTCATGACCACAGAAGGCTTTGCTCTTTTCAAGGATATATTTATAATAGCAGAATTATCCCTGTACAGTATTTCTTTATCACGAGTCTGTTTTCTACTGGTTTTGACAGGCTTCAGCTCAAGGTCCCTGACAGCAGGCCCTTTTTCTAGTCTAAGGACCTCAGGCAGCTGCCAAGGTTGGCAGATGCAAATAGCCACCCCTTTGGGGACAGAGTCCTGGACAGCCTGGTTAGTGCTGGGGGAGATCTGTGGGGACACAGCTACTCATGGAAGCAAGGGTTCCCTCTCATCTTCTCAGTGGCAGCCAGGGCAGTGAACCCAGCTCACCAAGGCTCTGCTGCCTTCTTTCCATTGCAGTCCTTCCTTCCATAAGCCATCCCCATCTCCTGGCCACAACCATCTTCCCTGGGCTGCCTCAAAGACTGAACACAGTTTTAGGCTGCAAGGATGGTCACTACCTTTTGCAAATGTCTCAAATTGCTGGCACTCACCAAGAGAGAAGGGGCAGGCTCTGCATCTTTGCTGCCTTTGGTCCTGGAAGCAGCATCAGTTCTGTCCACCCTTTGTGCACAGTACAGCACATGAGACAAAGGCTGAGGCTCAGCAAAGGAGATTTCACAGCCATTTTATAGATATAAATTTTATAATGTCTCACTGCATTGCTTTGTGAGGTTTGAGGGCTGCACTCCAAAGGCAGATGGAAGCTGAAATGTGTATCTGATACTAAATTATCTAGATGCCTAAATGCTTTTTTTGAACAGTTCTTGGATGGTTTCTAAGCAATCCCTATGCAGATTCATTCATCCTCTAGGCATTAGTTAGTTCAACATAAGTTGTTAAGGTGTGTTCCGTAAATTCCACAACTTAAGTGTTAAGGTGGGTATTTATTGCCATGAATAGGTGAGCCAGGGCAACACAGTACAGTTAAATTGTTGCTGTATTACAAAATCTGTCTTTTTTGCAATGTGTTGCACTTAGAAACTTTAGAAACACAGAATTGTCTTGACTTTCCAGAGGGTCACAAACCTGTGAAATATCTCCCAGGTCCTGTAGGCATTATCACTTGGGCAAGACATAAGCATGAGCTGATACTTCAGTGGCTTCCATCTGTTGTAGCAGCTTATGGGATTTAAAGGATGGCTTTCTACAGTTTGTTTTCAGAAATGAACTCAAACTAAAATCCACAGCTACACTGCGCTTGGCAAGAGTTCAAAGATAACATGCTGTTCATATACCACTCCACTTCATTTTGGATCAACCCTGCATCCAATGCCACAAGACTGTTTGTGTTTCCTTTCTGTGCTCTGAGCAGGGAGTTCTCAGGGTTTCAGCACTTCATGTTCAGTCATACAAGGCCTGTGGCTGATTGGTTTTGTTGGCTGCATTCATTCATCAAGTGGCAACAAAAGGAATGCATTTCAGTGTCTGAAATAGCCACTGCAAGCTGCATAGGGCTGAGAAAGGATATATCGGGCAGGACAGACCCAGGCTGGGGTCTGGAGCACTGAGAAGGATACACAAAGAAACTAAGCTAGCACTGTGACTGCAAAAGCAGAGATTGTCCAACAGTGAATCCCAAACTAACAGCTGTCTTAGGAGCAGAGGATATTTTGTCCAGCCTCTAGTCCAAATCTTTCATCCTGTTGGGTGAACTCTGCTTTCATAGAGCATTTCTGTGCACATGGACACCAAAGTCTCTGCAGTGGTCCAATTTTGCTGACTTTTGCTGATGCCTTGCAGTTTTTTACTCTGAAACCTCTAGATCAGCAATGAATGCCATCACCATACCCTTCACAAAGGATCTGTCTAGTCTACCCCCTTTCTGGAAGCATCTGAGGAGGAGATGGCAAGGCTTGTCGGCAAAAACATTTCATTTTGGGCTTATTCTCCCCAGACATTGTTATCTCCAGGGCCAGCTCCAGGACTGGTCCACTGCTAGCAAGACTTGAGGCTGTGACATCTCCATCCTGAAGGAGATCTCTAAAATGGATAGCATAGGATAGAATGGAATAGCATATTTCAGTTGGAAAGGATAGATCTGACGAATCAGCCCTTTTCACTTGGAGCACAGCATGAGATGCCCAGCCCTAATGCAGGCGAGGCAGACAGACTGTGCCTTGGCCATGTCAGCTCAGGGTGGAAGTGTATCAAGCACCTGTGAGCAGGGGATGGGAATATTAACATTTTGCACAGCTGCAGTACTTTACATCCCCCTCCCTGCTTTTCCAGGCATGTATGTTAGGATGTCTGACGATGCCATGACCATCTGGACTGAGACATTAGAAGCGGTACGGTCACTGCCTGCCCTAGCAGCCATGGCCCCAAGCAGGGGGGCTTCAGGCTACACTCAGAGGTCATAGGGTGTCACTGTGGCCAGGAGGGGTGGGGGAAGGGGTTGAACCAAGTGGTCTAGAGCTCCAGCTGGCTTTGGGAGTCAGGGTTGTCAGCCTGAGGAGGGAAGATTTCCTCAGCCTCCTGGTCCCCTCTCCCCTGTTCCAGTTACTCTCAGTCCCGCTCCTTCCACCCAGGCAGCTCTGGAAACATGTGTCCAGCCAGATCAGACTGGGAACTGTGGGGTAAGCGACGGGGTAGAAATGGGGATGTCAGGTAGACATCCTCTGTAAAGACACTGCCAGTCTTGATCAGAGGAGGATGGTGCATGCCATTGCCCCGAGGTATCGGAAGCCATCTCTGCTCCATTTACAGGACTCAAGCGCCTGAGTTCCCCGGGGTGGCTGTCCGCTTACCACCAGTGCTCCAGTTTTGGACTCAGTTTATAACCAGATGTTAGGCCGAGTTTCTGTTGTAAAGGTAAAAACTACTGGCACCGAAGCGCCTTGGGCTGTGATCTCGCTGTGGGCTTTGTGCAGGCAGAGCGAGCACCTCTCTCACAGCAGTGGGGGCAGAGTTCAGGGTCACCAGCCCGAGCTGCTCCCACAGAGGGTGTCCCCGCTTAGCCCTCTGCAAGCTGCCTTCCTCCCCTCACTGCCCACCTCCACACCTGCCTTGTCTGCTTGCTATGCCAGCCTGGCTTGCCCTGCTCCATCTGCTTCACCCAGCTATCAACTGGCTGCCTCCAGCTTAGGTGGTGAGCTCTTTCAGCAGTGCTAGGACCTCTAGGGACAGAAAACAGGGAGAGTGGGCACAGCGTCACTGTATGCCAGGGGAAAACCTCCCATTCCCTCCCCGGCATGAGTTAGAGCTGCCTCCTTCCATGGAAAGGGCCTGCTGACAAAGGACAGAGCTTCTCCACAGCCCATGGAGACCAAGGGGTTAGACCTGTCTGGGGAGAGTACCAGCCCCACGAGCATGTGGGGGAGGAGGACTTGCTCAAAACCAGACACATTCTTGATTTCTCAGCTGCTTTGGAGACTAATAATCTGGCTGCTGTTATTGCAAACCTTCTTGGCATGTTTCAGGCTGTCCTCTCCTTCTATAGGATGACAGGCTGCAAACCACCAGGAACCCTGAAAAAACTCGTAGCCTAAACCAGGCACATTGACTGCCCAATACAAACACCTCCTACGCTGTACTGAGGCTGCAGCAGGGGCCAAACCTCCCCCCATGTTTCCCAGCCATGACAGGAGGAGGAGAAAGAGGACAGCACCTTACAGGATGGGTTACACCCAGCCTTCGTGCCACTCTGAGCCACAGGTGACCCTTGGGGACACGACCACCTGCACCTGGGAGGAGGGACTGAACCCACCGTGTTTGTGGTTGCTCTAGTTGCAGGCATTGGCCTCTGAGTTGAAGGCGGGTTTCACAGAAGCAATGCAGGAGCTGTCACGAATCCAGCATGGCGAGTATGCCCTGGAAGAGAAGGTCAAGAGCTGCCGCTGTGCCATGGAGGAGAAAGTGGCTGAGATGAAGAATTCCCTCAACACATTCAAGGTAGGAGTGTGACCTGTGGGGAGGCTGCACACGTGTCACATTAGCTTGTGTGGCACAGGGAAGCATTCCCCTGCCTCCATCAATACTTCCTGCTTGCAAAGAAAATGAGCAGGCAATTGTTTTGGATATAGCTGGGGTACTTCCTTTGGCTTTGGGTCTCCCCTGACAGCTCCAACCTAAAAGTAGCCCATACTCTGGCTTGTTTAGCCTTCTTCATTGTCCATAAGGCAGTGCTGTGAGTTACCTGGGCACGAGCAACCCTTGCTCTGGGCTGCACATGCAATGGGCATATGGCCTGTCCACAGGCTGCCCCGTACCTCTCCCTGGGGCAGGTCTGCATTTCCTGCAGGAACCAATGCCATGGGGAGCAGCGAATTAACACAAAACCCTAAAGCCTTTTGAAGTTGCATTCCCACATGGCTGGGAGGAAGTGCTGCCTAGTTTGATCTGGCCCAAAAGGATAAAGACAAAGGACTGGAGAGAAAGGCTAGCAAGAAGGCTTAATGTACACTTTAAACCAGCCAGCATCTCCATGCAGAGACTGGATGATTGCGTGTGAGGAGGCAGGCAGAGGAACTCTTTTATTATTTTAACTGCAAATTTTCCCCACGGGGTTTTGCCGAGTCAATAATACTTTGTGAAGTTAAAGAGGGCTGCTTACTGGAAAAGCCCATTACTGACCCTGTGACTAGGGAGACAGATGGCACCAGGGAAAAGGAACCCTTGGTGCCAGATGAGAAAGGGAGATAACAAGAAGTGTAAGGACACATGGGAGAGGTCTCAGAGCAACCAGAGGCAGGGCTATCCAGGATATTATTATAGGGGAAAAGGGGATTTAAAATCCAGATACAAGGAATTACACAAGAAACAGGAGGGGCAAAGGCTACTCTCCCTCTGCCTCATGCCCATATTGACTTAAAATGCTGAGCTCCCAGTGAAGCCATCTCCTTGCTTGGGGAAAATACTTCGGTTTACAAGAAACTCTTGAGTCTCTCTCCTCCATCCTACTGCTCACATTCATGAAACTTGTAGGAACTTCATGCATCAGAGCTCTACCTCTAAGTAAGGCTTGGTTGAAACTGCCTGAGGGAGGACGTGCTGACAGGGAGGTTACAAAGAGCCTCATTTCCTTAGGAAACCAGGCTAAAAATGCAGATCCAAGGCCTGACTGGCAAAAGCTTATATATGTGAGTGCTCACACTGGGATCTGAACCAAGTGCAACATGTGAATACCCATGCTGGAAAACTGCAGAGGGAAGTGTGCTTCCTAAGGTCCACCTCCAAATGCCAGTAAAAGGCGGGAGTCCTCCCAGTGCTTTCAGCTGGCGGTGGATGAAGTCCTAAGTGTCCATCTCCCCCCAGTGCCCTAATCATGTGACATCACGCTGGCTTAGGTGAGTTGCCTGTAGAATTAAGGACTGCCATGTTGTACATGGCATGTGTGACATACACTGGACTTGCAAAGGAAGAGTGTCTAATCACACAGCCACTTTCCCAGCACCCTGAAGCGTCTTCAGTGCACACCAGCCAGCATTCAAAGCATAAGGCTGATGGGCACCCTGGGAATGCTGTGCTTTTGCCTGTTTCTCAGGAGGAGCTCAGCGATGCCAAGTCAATGATTGAAGAAATCAGTGCCAAGCAGGAGGAAATGCAACAGAAAATTGAGCAGCTGCAGCAAGAAAAGCGGCGGGAATCACGGAAAATGAAAGCTAAGTAAGAGCCCAAAGTCCAGGGTTCTGAACATGCTAATTACCATTTTGTTAATTTCTGTATAGCTTAATTTCTTAATATTTTCCTGGCTGGACATGTGTGTCAACCCTGCTTATAAACAGAAATGCTAGCCTTCAGTTCACCCCAAGCTTTTAGACACCTACCCCACGGAGCAAACACAGCAGAAAAACGCTATCACCCCACTGTGATTCCAACAGCAAAATAGCCCTCAGCAGCTGTCAGGGAAACCAGGGCCCTGTGGAACACACAGACATGTTGGGACAGGAATACTGTTGAAAGTCAGAAACCTCCACCATCAGAAGGTATTACTAAGTCACCCCCAACCAGGCAATAGCACTGCAGTTTCCCCTTCCAAGCTTGCAGGATTCAGTGGGCTCCTGATGGTGCAGTCATGATCTGCTTTTCTGTCACCAGTGTTTTCTCCTCTGAGCAGAGTCACGCAGAAGCATGTTTGCACACTGCTGGGCCACACTGCTGCTGTGATGGAGCAGACAAGTTGTCCAGCTTGGCCCTAATTAGCCTCCTGAAAACAGAGTTTTGATCATGAGTCTATACAGTGTTTGCCTTGATGCAAACGCTTTGCAAATCTAGGCTAGCCCCTTAGCTAATTAAGCTATTTAATTAGATGAAATATGCTCTGCAGAAGAACAGATTTGAAATAACCTTCTCCTATAGCCAGTGGAAGTTATTTCCGGAACATTGTTCACGAACTGCCAATTCCATCAAAGCCAACTCCTTTCCTGGTCTCTGCTAGAGTTGTCCTACTTCTAACTCTGTGGTTGTACTTGCAGTAATGTTTGCCATAACTGTAGCATAGGAGCTCCACCTGTAGCATTCATACTTCCCATCTGTCTTGTTCTTTATTTGTACAGAAGAGCACAGAAGGATGATCATGGGTCACAGACAGTACCAACACCTCTCCAGGGCAGCCCATTTCGATCCATTAACCTCCCAGAACCTGTGCTGATTAATGAAGATTTTACAAGTCTTTTACACAATGTGACTTATGAAAAAGGTAAGAAATAGAATAGGCAAATGCAGTGCCTCTCTCAGGAAAAAAATTCAGAAAAAGATCACTAAGTATTCCTCAGGTGCCAGCAGCACAAAAAGAGGTGCTCCCCTCAGCAGCACTGCTCTTGGATCTGTGCATACACCTCAGCACAGTGTCTCAGGATAGCAGCCTTGGTGCTGGCCTGGATTCAGGAGATGTTGCTTTGTGAACAGTCCCAAAAGCTCTCGCTTGCCTCCTCCAAGGAAAGGGATGCAGACTGGATCTTTGTTCCTATAGTGCGAGTGGCACAGAGACAGAATCAAAGAGTTTCCATGGCAAAACTGTGAAAGACTGGAGGATTTAACCATACTGACAGGGCTTAGCAGGAGGAAGCCTGCTCTACAACTGTCTTGTTAAATCTACCTTTGTTCTTCAACAGTGTCTGACACCAGGATCATGCCAATGGGAGAAGGAGGTGTGAAAGTCATAGCAGGTCCAGGTACGAAAATATTAAACTGTCAAAAAAGAGCAGGACAATGATTCAATTAGAGTGCTTGCTTTACTGCACTGAAGAAAGGCTTTCAGGGAACACATTTCACAGGGATGTCTTTCAATCTGCCACATACCTCCATTTTCATACTTGCAGCTGAGATATGAGGACAAACCTGTGTCCCTGAAGTGTCCAATACCTGATGGTCAATGCCAAGGATTGATGTTTGGCAGGGAAAGCCTCTCTGCTGTTGATTTCTCAGATTCTAAGTGCCTTTGCAGAAAGCAAGAATAGAGGCTTACTGATGTGAGAAAGAATAATGACAGCACCATTTTGGTACTTGGCAAGGGATGGTCTTGCAGTGACAACATCCCAGTAGAACTGGTGAGCTGTTTATTCACCCACCAGCTTCTACGTTCCTTGTAGACACATCTGAACAGAGGAGTTCTCCTGACAAAATTAAAAATTGGTCAGAAGTAAGAGTAGGGTATAGTAAGTGGACACTATGGATCCTGGCCAGTCAAAGGACACATGAGAACAACCATTAGATGTTTGCAGCGTGCAGTAGCAGCACTCACTGTTCTGGATGGCTCTTTTGCTTAAATCCACTTTAAAAAGAAGAGATAAAAGCTATGGAAAATGGTTCATTGCAACCCAAATTCAAAATATTTGCATTAGAGCAATTCCAACCCAATGGTTCTAATGCAACTGCACCCTTCCCTCCCTTCTCTGTGATTCAGTAACCTCAGACTATCAGTCCTACTGCTGTTGTGTAGGACTACACAAACAAACATCACTACACCACACTAGCAAAAATGTTAAGAGCTATGACAGTTTACACACATTGAGAATGGCATTTAAATCCAAATTATAACAATACGTTCTAAAATACTTGCCAATAAGTGTCATATTATCAAGTCCTGAAGTGTACCAAAACCCTGAAGGGCAACCATACTTGAAACATGTTTTCTTCTTCTCTAACATATGTCTAATTTTGGGCCTTATTTGGCCTGAAAATAAACGTTGGAAGAGCATGAACTTCTGCCAAAGTGCCACCAACTGCGCTTCCTTTGTAAATTAACACTACAAGGCCCCAGCCCCTGTGAAGCACAAATGCTTCAAATTCTCCTTCTAGTACTTCCACTGGATGAAAACACAGGTTAGCTGCTGGCTGTAGCATACTCTGTCTACTGACATCCCAGGGTCCGTATCCCTGTTTGTTGTGGCAGGAGCAGCTATGGAGACAGATGACAGCCTCAAGCCTTCCTTGGCAACAGAAGGGCAGTCAAAAATGCATCTGCCATCAACAGTATGGAAGCAGCCCAAGGACACCAAGGACTGGGGAGATGAATACATTTCCAAAGAACAACCGGAGAGAGGGAAGGACATGGGCCAAAGCAGATACAGCTCAGCAGACATCATATGTGAACCCTCTTTGGCTGGTAAGGACTAGAAAACTGGCTAGAGGGGCTCAAAGCTGTATCCATGTCTGGTGTGAACTGGTTGGTAACCAGCGTCTATGAAGTGAGATTCGCAGGCCAGTTTATCCTGCTGGGGGGAACGTCACAGGGCCTCACACTCCAAGACCTCTGGCCTTTGAATTTGTTGGTCTGTGTGACTGAGAGAATCACTCTGTACCCAGGACAGCCATCCTCTGTTCCAAGATCTAGAGTACTGATGATATTGTGGCAGTGTAGCTGCTTAAGTGGGTGAAAAATACAACTCCTCGTTCTGTGGGAAATTGGAGGGGAAACCCTGATATGAGTTGTTTTGCCTTTGATTGCTTGTTTTGTTATTCTTAGAAAAATCTGGTATTCATAGGGGAAAACACATTTGCTTTGGAGCTTTCTTAGCATGACTAGTGGCTCTAGTTGTGTCTGGGGCATGCTGTAGCATCAGGCTGGAATTTTACATTTTGGGGAAAGAAGACACACAAAGACAAGACATTGATATCACTTTTAAAGAGTTTCTCCTTTCATGATTCAATATCAGTTCACCAGTCTAACATGAAGCTGTCCCTGAGGTCAGTATTTCCTTATTTTTAAACTTAATCATTATCTTCTGGAAGCCAAAAGGCAGAACATCGCTTTGGAGCTGCTGGAATCAGAAAGGAAGTATGTCATCAACCTTTCCCTAATCCTGAAGATCAAGGCCACGTTGCAAGGGCCAGATGTGAAAAGAAGCACCAAAGAGAGAAGGTATTTGATTTAGTGTGCTCTCTCTCTTTTGGGGAGTTTTATTCAGTCAATATTCTTTTTGCATCATCCTCTCACACATTTTTCTTTCATCCACACAGATATCTTTGAACCCTTAGTTTATTTCTAATTGAAAATTGGAAGCATTGGAAGGTTTTTGCAGCGACAAAAGACTTTCCTACCTGTCCTTGCATTTTGTTCACCATCTTCATTCTGATTCTGGATGAAACCAACATGAAATGCAGTAGTATATTTTGACCAACTCTGCATCAATGGATTATCTTGTTAAAGGGCCTGACAAATGAGACAACACACAAAGCTGGGGAGCTCTCAGTGGGATGGCTCAGGACCTGCTTCATTAGCCACAGCAGCATTGCCTTGGGCTTTTTTGTTCTGCAAATTCTGGTCAGCTACAGAATGCACTGAAAAGTCAGTTTAGGAAGCCTTCAGAACACTGTATTAATAACCAGCTGGAAAGGGTTCTTGCATGTACGTAGCAGCCAAAACAGACCTCCTGATGCAGCCAGGACTCCAACAAAAGTAGTTAATAATACCTGTGCTATAGTAGCAATAATATGTGTAGTTAATAATACATGTGCAAGACTGTGCTGACCAAACACGAATGGTTCACTTCAGCAGTACAGGCTTATTAGGGCTGAGTTTTTGCTCTGTGTAACCAGTTTGAAATCATCTCCCTTCAGTTTTTTCCCCAATTCTCTGCGGTTCCTGGTCCAGCAGCATGTGGATTTACTTCACGCTCTGCAGGAGCGAGTCCTGAGCTGGCCACGACAAGGGATCCTAGGAGACATCTTCCTGAAGTTAACAAATGATGAGGTATGTTAAAGGCCTCTCCGGACTCCTCTGTTATGATGTTGTCTTGATGGGCCAAAACACCTTGCAACAGAGGGGCTGTGCTGTGAAGCTGTGGCTCGGGTAAGGCCTTTCAGCAAGCCTCCTTTGAGCAGAGTCCTGGTGCATGGTACCCTCTTTGCTGTAGCATTTGATTGTTCAGGGAGCCCACGTGCCAGACACACCTGTGGGCATGCAGCCTCATAGCACAGCTCTATAATCTGTGCATGAGACCTAGACTCGGTTGCAGGAGCCACACATGAGCCTTGACAGCCTGAATGTCTGTATTCCCACTAAGAGTGTGAAAAGGGAGTGTTTCTGATACTCCCCTTCCCCATTGCTCTTTGCTCAGAGTTACAACAAGCAGGTGGGCAGGCCTCTTATGCTGTATGGTTTGTTGGATCTGCTTCTCAGGGTGAAGGTCTGCCCTGGTGAGCAGAGGGACCTCTCCGGCAAGGATGTGTAAAAACTCATCTGATGCTTTATAAATTTTAGAGTCTTAAATAAGAAAAGCTTCCTGCTGCCCAGCCTTTCTTCCCCTCCCCACTTGTTGTAAGGCTTTACACACTGTGCTCAACAGTTGAATACGTTTTATAAATCGGCCTTTCGTGAGAAGTTCTGAGCCCTGAAAGAGTCACACAGTTAGCAGCTCTCCTGCACTGATGACCTTCCAGGAGTGATGGTGGGAAATCAACAGTTTCTCATTCTGGCTGGCTCTATGACCAAAAATCTCTCTTAAGTTTCTTTGTTCTTTCTTCTTTTTCTTTTGTAAGAATAATTTTCTGGACTACTATGTTGCTTACCTGAGGGACCTGCCAGAATGCATCTCTCTGATCCACGTGGTGATCCTGAAGGAGGTAAACTTCCTGCCTACTTCAAAGACATGTAATGGCAACATGCAAGACTGGATCTCTTCCCATTATGCCTGCCCACGATAGGACTCTTCTGCCAATCCACTTGTTCTGTTGCCAAATGCCAGTTTCCTGAAAGTTGCCATGGCTGACACACACCTACAAAAGGCAGCTTTAACACTGTGTGTAACCAAACCTATTTTTCTGCTGGGATATGAAACAGTGTCTCAGATGAAACCTCCCAAAAGCTGCCTATGCATGTGCTATCCAGACCTTTTCCAGACAAACAGTGCCTCCTGGAAAATGGAGGACTCATCCAAACAGAGAGATCAAGACTGAGGCTGTAAGTGCTTTATAGATTAGAGTCTTCACTGTTCAGCTTCAGGTGTTTGGCCTCACACACTTGATTCTTGCTCTAAACTAGGAAAGTTACATGTAAAGGTAGTTTTAAAGTGCAATAACTAAACCACACTAGCTTGCTTCCAAGACATTTTAATTTAGAAGTCAATCTCATCTTGTTCAATTCATTTGGGCCTCAGCTAAGAACTTCATTCTGAACAACAGTGTATACCTGGCATTTCACTGAAACTTAACTAGTGCCCTTTAAACATACAGCCCTGCTTAATTAGGCTGAGTCCCTCATAGATAATCTCTAACCTAAACAATTTCATCCTAGTATTTCTGGTGGAAGGATTTGCAACTGTCCCTTCCATGAGCAAGAAGAAGATGTGTCACAGGGTGCTGTCACACACAACTGCCACCTGACTGGTGTGCTCCTATGAACTCTTAAAACTACTTACAGCACAACTACTCATTAAACTACAGAACCATTTGGAAGCAGACATGTTTTATGGGTGGGAAGGACTCTTAAGTTGCTTTCTCTATTTCAGGTAGAAGAAGAAATCAAGTCTGATCTCTACATTCTGTTCTTCCATATAGTCCAGCGAATCCCTGAATACCTTATTCATCTACAGGTAGGGCCCCAGGATGGTAACTGTCTTGTTGAACTTTTATCACAGCAGGTGACTCTTAATTCAGAGCTGGTATTTGAGCCTATACAGGTACAGGGCTTCTGGCAAACCCAGTGGGCTCTTTGAAACAACAAAAAAAAAGGTGAAAGGGAAAGCCAGCTAGAAATAGCTCAATTTTCATAATTTTCACCTGGAGCTCGCTTATTTTTGCCAGTTTCTCCATTTGACCTGACAGAACAAGCTTTTGTCCTCTGGGAAGGCAAAAAGTCTGCTGCCTGCTGCTCTGGGAGAATGGGAGGACAGAGATGGGACACATCTCCTGTGAGCTCCAACCTAACAGCTATGCTCTTTGCTGAGTGCTCCACATGCCCGTTAGCTGAGAGACTGAGAGGGCTCCTAGGGCCCAACAATCTTTCCTAAAGAGAGATGGCTGATAAAAAGAGTTCTGGTTCACAGAATTGTACTGAAACATTTTAGGCAAGGCAAATGACACAGAAAGCAAGCCCCATAAAGCCAAGACACTGGTTTATTTATCCAAAGCTAAGCTGAACCAGTGCATCACCCACACGTTCCATGTGGTTACTTGTGCATTTGCACTGGAGTAGCAGAAGGTAGGCCCCATCCGAGTCCCTCAGAAACTGATGCTGCCTAGAAAAGCTCCCAAAGGGCAGTGCCACGTGCACTCCAGAGCACTAATCCATGGTTCCAGTAGAACCTTCTACCTAGAAAGGGTTAGGACACCCTCCAAACAGCCTGCTCTCCTCTGTGCCTCAGAATGTCCTGAAGTTCACGGAGCAAGAGCATCCTGACTATTACCTGCTGCTGGTGTGTGTGCAGCGCCTCCGGGTTTTCATCTCACACTATAGTCTCCTCTTCCAATGCAATGAAGACCTGCTGATACAGAAGAGGAAAAAGCTGAAGAAGTAAGCACATCATCAGCTTATACTCCCTATCACCAGGGAAGGGAGGTGTGAAGGAATCCAGGCAGCAGGGGGTTTAGGCCCAGGCAAGATCAACAGGCACATTGCTCTGTTGAAATAAAACAAATGCTTTGTATAGGAGTGCTGGAGAAGGATTGCTATCGGCATTTGGCCTCCAAACTGATTTGGGGTGGGCCCTTCTGTCTAAGAGAGAAAGGAAAATCACATTTAAATCCTTCTAAACGTAGCAGCCATGTGTTTCATGGGATCAGCTGATTCCTTAAGCTGATGTCAAAGTCACTCCCCAGTGGAAAAACACACAGGGATTTAGCTGCTTTGGCAGCTTGAGGCCCTGGTGAAGGTGAATGTTTCCCTCATGGGCTAAGACTCCAAAAGAATAGGGTTATCTTATTTTACTGGGGGAAGGGGTGGGAGAAACAAAAGCCTCCCATAACCTGTTTGAGATGAACTATAATGTATGATCTATGAATGTAGATTCTCAAGTTGCAGTTCAGAACAATTCCTTGAAAACAAGACTTTTTACTCAAAATCTGGTTGCCTTTGCTCCTTGTGATGATTTACCTGAGAAGTAGGACAAGATCAAACTTCAAGGGAAGCTTTCAAATATGGAGGGTGGTAAAGGGCTGGAGCAGACTGCTGGGAAGGGACTGCTGTCAGAAGAGGCATTAAGAACAGGACAGAAAGCAGGAGGCCCTGCTGACTGGAACAGACTAGGTGGAACAAGTTTTCCTTGGGGTGGGAAGAGGTGAACAGGAATATTAAGGTCCCTCCCAGTCCTGTTTTCTGTGATTCTACATGCTCGTGCTCATTCCCTGCCTTATTTCTTAGCCCGACGATGGATTTCTCCTCCCTCAGGTCATCCCTGGTGAAGCTGTACAAGGGTCTCACCTCCCAGTGTACAAGCCAGGAGGTTTCTCCAACACCCAGTGCAGCATCAATGCGGGACAGTGGGATCCACACTGAAGAGACAATACAATCATTCCCGCCAGCACCTTCCTCTGGCACAACAACCCCGTAAGCCTGTTGTTCTAGTAGGTGGCTTTCAAAGTAGGCTGAAAACTCTCCTCACCCATACCATGCAGTGACACCAGGCAGTTACAGGCTGTCATTTTCAAAACAACTCCCTGTATATAGATAGAGGGATTAAGGGCTGGCTCCTTCCTGCTATCCCCTACCATGTGGCTCACAAGCAGGAAATGTTTCAGAGCTCTACCCAAGGCTGTCAACTCTCTTGCTAGCTGCCTTAACAGCTAGCTGCCTAGCAGGGAGAATATGAATTTGTGTAGGCCTGAGAGTGGTGTGCATAGTAACACTCTGCACTATTCACTGTGAACATTACAAGAGATAGGAAACATGATGAAGGTCTCAGAGTAGGGAAAAAAATACTTTTCCACACAGCACATAATTGAATGATGGGAGTCACTATCACAAGATACAAGTACAATATGGGTTCAAAAAGACATCAGACTAATTCAAGACAGATGCAGCTACTGGTAGGACCTGGCAATCTTCACAGAATCACAAAATATTCTGAGTTGGAAGGGACCCACACGGATCCTCGAGTCCAGCTCCTGGCCCTGCACTGGACAGCCCCAAGAGTCACACCATGTGCCTCTTCAGGCCACCAGAGAAGAGATTGGTGCCTGCCCCTCTACTTCCCCTCATGAGGAAGCTACAGACTCAGTCTCTTCCAGGCTGACAGACCAAGTGACCTCAACTGCTCCTCATACAGCTTCCCCTTTGGCCATTTCCAGCTTATTGATAGGTGCCAACTGAGATGAGGACTAGGGAAACACGCTAGATTTGCCTTTTTTCTTATGCCAACAATTTGTGGCTGTTATGCTTCCTTACCTCATTTGATACTAACAAGAAGAGTTTGGCGCCATCATTCCAAGTCCCCCTGAAGTAGTAGTGTTATTGGATCGGTCCTTAGCCTCCTTCTCACCAGATTGCCCAAGACAATCTCCATCCTCTCACAGACATCATGCTCCAGGCCCCCATCTTGGTAGCCTCAGCTGGCACTGCCCCCACATTCATCCTCAACAGAGGGCTCAACATGGGGCCTGGTGGGTCCTCATCAGTACTGAGCAGAAGTGGGGAAAATAACTCCCCAGGCACATCTGGCCATGCAGATATGGCAATACAACTCAGGCTGGGTTTGCCTTGTCTGACATGAGAGCATGCTGTCAGTTCATCTTTACCCTGGCATTGGCTATAACACCGAGTTCATACCAGGGCTGCTGCTCAACCCAAATCTCCCAGCCCGGTCTGATGCATGGGGTTATCTTGTCCCAGATGCAGAACTCTGCATATCTTGAATATCACAAGGTTCCCCCACTCCATTCATTATGACCCCAGAAGACGGCCATAGGACTTTCCTAACTATTGTTCTTTAAGGGCCATGGAGGTCACGCCCTGCACCTAGTACCTCATCCAACAGAGCACTGCTGATTTACCTGGAACACAAGGAGGGTAGCAGACCTCCAAGTAATCCTGACACACTTCTGGGTACAGAGCCACCCTACCCAAGAGAGAAATCCTGTCCACCTGAAAAGACAACCTGACCACAGGAAAGTAAGGCACAGCCCCTACATTGCAGAAAGAGCAGGAAAATAAAAATCCAAAATGCAGATGAACAGGAGAGAGATGGAGCAGTTGGCTTCTCATCTCAGTTTCTATTAATTTCATGCTGTAGAGTACAAAAGTCAGCCAAAGCTACTGGATAAACAGTTCTGTCTCTGCAAGTTTGCTCCTCCTAACCAGTCAGGCAATTTCTGTAAGTGACAGCTCTGTTACTATTCTCCAAGACAGGAAAATACCTTTGGGCCATAAATCAACACAATAGGGCTGGGTGAATGAAGGGGGGGGGCTTGTTGTGCTGTCTTTGTCATCCTTTAGTATTCCACTTCTGTCTGTTTTTTTGTTTTGTTTCTTATTTTTAAGGCATTTGATGCCTCAGATGAAGAAACCCCAGCCAACCGTGATTGAGAACATCCAGGCTGTAAAGCCCCCTGACTGGGAGATGGAAAGTAGAAAACATGAGAGGCCAGAGAACATCCTTGCATCCTCTCAGCTGACAGAGCAGGAACTCAAGGCTTTGACAGCCCCCTTACAATCCATCCCTGAAATGGAGTATGAAGCACCACCAGCTGATGCGGTGGGAAACACTGAGAGAGCCATCAGGACCTCCGTGGAGCTGCTGCAGGATGCAAGGAACTTTGCACCAAGCTACGAAGAATTTGACTACCCTGGGGAGGTTTTCACCATGCCAGGCCCCTATGAAGAAGACACCTTTCAAAACCTCGCTCTCTTTGATAATTGCTCTCCAGCCTCTTCCGAGTCCAGCTTAGATATTTGCTTCCTTAGGCCTGTTAACTTCACCTCAGAACCAGAGAGGACAGACCATGCCTTACAGCCATTGCCTAAGAGCTGCACTCCCGTGAGCAGCAGTACTTACAAGCGTGAGATGTTCCACAGCAAAGGCAAGCAGCTGAGCAGGTCTCTGAAGGAGCTGCCGAGGAGCGCTGAGGGTGTGAGCACCAGACTCTACAGCACACGGAGCAGCAGTGGAAGTCGTCTGCAGCAGAAGCAGGAGAGGAATGTTCAGCCTCACTTGATCTCAGCTTCATCTCGAAGCTCCCAAAGGAGCTACTTCCCCCCACAGAGAGGAGCGGGTGAAAAGCCGAGCTTTTTGGAAGTAAGGAGGCTAAAATAGGAGGAGAAAAAAAATGGCACATGGTGGTGCAGCAGCAGGAGAAAGATCTGAGATACAGTTAGACTAGAACACGCCAAAATAGCTTTCAAGTCCACACATTCAAAGTCCTCACCTGCATGTACATGCCCAAGGGAGGGACAAGACAGCTCCTTTTCAAACATGTCTTCCCCGGGGACAGGCAGGGGTTAAAGGTGCACAGCTGGCTGAGTGACAGCTACAACACCCTTCAGACCAGGTAGCCTCTTGTGTGTCTCCACCTGTCAGTGAGCTTCGCCCCCCAACAAGTGAATGTTCTGATCAGGTCATAAAGTATGCACAAAGCTGTTTGAAATCCGTGCTATGGGTGGCACCCAGTTAAACAGGTGCCTTTCCATCTGCTGTGAGGAGTGCTGGGTAAGTCATGCCGGTGTAAACCAGCATGACTTGGCCAAACTCAACCCATTTAACACCAGCAAGGATCTGGTCCACAGGTTTTGTTTCACCTGCATTTGTTGCATGGATTGTAGACCCATGCCAAAGTCTATGTGAGAACAGTCAGAACCCAGCAACCGTGTCCTTCAGATGGGACATGGCAGGCAGCACTGTAACCATTCAGGAACACCAGGTCTTGGAGGAACAATGTTTCTGCAGTCTGCAGTGACAGTCCAAAGTCAGCTTTGAGCTGTTACACTCCAGGAAGTAGATGTCCTTCGATTCCTGGGGAAGAGGCCAAGGGTGCACAGCTAGTTCTGTCACTGTCGTGTGGAGAAACACCCTCCTGTTAAAACTAGGCAAGATACAGATGAGGCTGTAGATGCAGATAATGATGGGAGGTAGGTTCTAACAGCCTGACTGAAAAGGCAGCAAGGAAACATCAAACAAAAAGGAAAAAACCCAAACCTGTTGAGTAAAGGAGGTGGTGGATGGCTGAACAGAGGACATAAGGCAGAGGGGATAAGCCATGGGGACACAGGCCCCACAGAAACAGGAGCCTGTGAGCTCTTTGGCACTCACCTGCACAGAGCTGTGGCCCACAGCAGCGTGCAGATGTGGAGCTTGTCCAAAACTGCAGGACATGTTCTCCCTCGCAGAGCAAAGGAGGTCACCATGGCAGTGGTGGGCAGAATTGGAGAAAAGGGTCTTGTCCAGAGTCTTGCTGAGAGGAGCTTGGCACTCTCCTGAAAGAGGGAAAGATCTTTTAGAGGCACATTTACCAGAAGCTTTTGTGCTAATGAAGCCTTCTGCCCCACAGATATAAAACCATACAGCAGCAGAGCCAGCAGAAGAGTCTTTTACAACATATCACAGCTCAAGAAGCCTGAAGCCTCCCTGACCTAGGGGAGAAAGGAGAGGGTGGGAAGTTTTTCCAACTGCCCAGGCTGGCTTGCTCCCTTACCGGCAAAAGGAGATAGTAAGCTCTCCCTAAGCAAAAAGCTTAGCAAGAAAGACTCCAGTTCCCTCTAACAAAGCTTATCCTTCTACTCCTCTGTCACTGCCTCAGCCTCAGAGCCAGCAACAAGCTCTCTGCAGAGGTACCAGTGTTCCTGAGGCCCAAGTGACCTGTTGTTTCCCAGCCTTGCCAGCACCTCCTCACTCACCAGGTCCCTCCTAGCACAGAGAGACAGAGAAAGAGAAGGGAACAAGAATGTGAGGTTGCAAATGCTGGTTAAATTGTCTTTTCCCTTTTAGGAGCTCCATGCAGAAGACAACACCAGGTTCTGCCAGAAGGATGACAATGAGCAAACATCCTTCAGCGACCACAACCCGCGGCACGAGCCCAAAGGGGGTTTCCGGAGCTCCTTCCGCAAGCTCTTCAAAAAGAAATAAGCAGCCCCAAGAAAGGCAGGCCACAGCCTAAGCACAACAGTGCTTCCCCAGGTCCCCGAGGGTGGAGACAGACAGCAAGGCCCCAAGATTCCCCTGACTAACACAGAGGGTGGAGGGGTGGGGGAGAGGAGACTGTCACAACTGCCTTACAAACGCATCCTGCTCTTTCTAGCACAGGGCAGGGCCAGGCTTTGGGTTGCAGTGGAGCTCAACCAGCATGTCCAAAAAGCACAGGAACTTGCTAGCTTTCATCCCTGCCTGACTTAACTTCCCTCAGTTTTGGAAAGCTTTGGCTGAATCCCACTATCTTCTCCTCCCCCTCATCCCCCAAAACTGCTTGATGTGCCACACATCTTTGCTCTTCCAAACTCATGCCAGGTCTTATTTGGGCTCACCCACAACAGAAGGGTTACCTTTGCAGCCCTGGCATCCTGGCCAGAAGTCTAAAATTCCCTTCTTTCCTCTACTTTCCCAAAAAATGCACCATCGAAGATGTCTTCCAGGAGGCCAGCTCGCATTACCTGGGTGGTTTGAGAAGGTCTAAGAAGCATCAGCTGAAGCACCTGAGTATTGTACGGCTTAATCAGCAACATCCTTTCTTTTGGACTTCAATCATTCCCCAAAATCCTCCTTCACTTTTTATGTGGCACCCTGTTTATTGAATTGCCTCCTGCTGTATGAATCTCTGCTCCTGCTGTCAGAATTGCCCATGTCTCCAGGCAGGTGATGCAAGCTGAGCCCAGGGACTGCCACAAGAGACAAAGACCTTATCCCCACTGTGGATCAATGCAGACACTGACAGAGTCAACCAGTGTCCTGGCTCCTGGTCTGTAATATATCTGAAATACACTTTGCTAATAATTCTTTGGCCTGACACCACCTTACAAGCCCAATCACGTGCAGCTTTGGAATGGTTCTTCCAAGTAAAAATTAAGGCACTAGGGCAGAAAAGTCAATGGTGCACCATGTTCAAAGTCACAGTATCTCCTTCTTCTGCAAGGACAGAACAACAAGGCCACACACATGCCACCCTCCTCGCATTTGGACATGAGAAACCCTCTGTAACTTTGATCTCTGCAGAAGACTGTAGCTTTTGTATGGAAACACAGTCCTCTGATGCAACACCCATGTCACACCCCAGCAGCAAGGGCACCACTGGTGCAGTGGTGTTACCAGTGGAGTACTACTGGTGAACTGTGGTGCTACCTGAAGCTGGGGCATTCTGAGGGCAGTTTCAAGAGGAAATGTGGTTTTATCACCTTGTTTTGAAAAGCTTGGGACAGTGGTTTGTCTTAAAGGACAGCTTCACCTTAAGAGGTTGTGAACTGTCTCTGTGGGGCCAACAGCAATGTCTTGGGGGAAATATGCAAGGCTGTGAGATTAGGGGCTTGGGACTCCCAGCATCAGCACAAGGGTGACTGAATTTGGTGCCAACAGAAGAGCACTCATCATGCTGCATGGCTGTCCTGGCAGTGGCAACAGCACAGGAAAGCCTCAGAGGAGGCTTGGATGCAGTGGCTAATACCTATCGCAGATGCAGGGCCTAGAGCTCTCCCACAGTGTTGACTGACCTGCATTTACCATCTGCTTTTCCTCTTCTGGTGGAAGCAAAGAGGTGTGTGTGAAAAGGGCACCTACGACAGACAAAATCCATCCTTTATTGCAATTAGAGTTTTCCCAACATTTCAAGAATGTGACCAAGAAAAACCCCAGAGATTAAAATGTTTTAGCTGGTGCCTGTCCCATAAATTTCAATGAAACTAAAAGTCAATTCTCCTCCTTACAAAGAGGAAAGAAGTATGATACTTTCCTCCCCTAGCTTTAAGAAACTACTCTGGGAAGATTTTTTTTTTTTTTAATTTAAGGCTTTTAATGGCAAAAAACCCCACCCTTCCATTCTTCTTCCCTCTCCCTCACATCCTCATTAAATTACAAATTCCCTAGCCCTTTCCAGTCAGGACTGCTCCATGCTGACCAGCCACTGAATCACAAAGACAATTCCTAGGACTTGGCAGCTTTCAGTCAGACTGTGCAGGGCCAGGATAGAAATACATAAAAAGAGCCAGATACTTGTAACTGAAGCATCAGCAAAGCCTGTTTGTTCTGCAAAAGAATCAGCCAGAGACAGAACTATTTGTTTGTCCATGGAACGAGAGTTGTACAATTATGGACAAGTGTCCACTGTACTGCACTGATGCTGTCAAGAGCTCTGATGCTTGGTGTCTTTGATCTTATATATGTAATGACACTTTTGTCCTTCATAGAACAAACCTGGTTTTCACACTTGCCAGGCAGGTGCCAGGACAGAAACAGGACAAAGGAAAAAACCTACCTGCTAACATCTCCTGGGTGAGGAAATCCTTCCGAAGTGGCAGACCCTTGCTTGTAAAATGCATGTGGATTTTAGCTTCTGTTTTAGTGATTTAAGGTACAGTCAAAATTGATGTTTTTTTCTTTCTGATTCTGTATGAGTTCTTACTTCCAGCCCTATACTTATCATTTGCAATGTCCTTGTACCTGCTCAGAATCTGCAAATGTAAATAATATGAATGAATGATGCTTACAACCACACACAAACACAACCTCTTGCAGGATCTATTCCAAATTCACCTTTAGTGTACATGTGTGTTCTGGATTATTTTTCTTCCTGTGCCAAATAAATGTTGCTTTTAATTAACATTGTTGTCTCTTGCCCTGAATCAGCCAGAAGGCTGCATCCATTAAGAGAAACACTTATTTCTCAGGTCCCTTTCTGAGGCAACATTACTTAGAAAATCCTGTACCCCGACACACACAGTCATGCAAGAAGACTGTTTTCTACACGTGGTTCTAAGACTCTTATCCAGAACTCAGCTGAGTCACTCTCTAGGATTCTGGTCAAGATCCTGTTGTTGGTGTAGCTGACTGACATTTCTTCATCTCCTTCCTCCATCTCCTTTACTCCCTTCTGCTACTTCTGTTGCAGACACATGAATTTTCACAAAAAAAATCCTGTAAGTCTCCTCCAGTGCCATACACACCACTCTAACTTCACCTATCCAACTCTGTAAGAGATCTTAG